ATACACCGCATCACTCGTGAAAATAACTTCCGTACGCAACGAAAGCCAAGGGGAGGGTGTGGGGTTCTGTCATATTATGCAATAAAAATATGGTGAATATTACAGAGAGTACACGTGACAAAGAAGAGAATTTAGTTGTGATGTTCGATTCTGTTGACTACGATTTCGTCCACGTAACTTGTACGTCTCAGCAAAAAGGGCACCTGAATATATACGAATTTGCTTGCACACGTACATCCAGAAAATCACTTTAAACGTAACTTTCTTCGTGTTCCGTCTAGTATTTCGAAGACCAACGTTATCATGCTAGGATTTGATTCAACCTCGTCTATGAACGTTGCTTCAAAAATCATACTCATTTTCGATAAACACTATGAAATCGTTCGTATTGCACAAATATAACATTCTTGGTGAAGACACAGTATATTCTTTTTATCCATGGTTACTGGGGAAACCGTATATTGAAAAAAAAAAAAATTGTGATATGTCTGATACATTAGATAATTGACCATTTATTTGGAATAGGTTTAAGAGTAGCGGCTATGTCACGATGTATGCCGAAGATTCACGAACTATAAATGTTTTCTCTCACTACTTTAATAGATTCAGGGACCAGCCAACCAGCAATTACATGCTACCATTTTGGTTAAAAACATCGCCTGTTTTATTTTGTATTGGGAATAAAGCACAATTCGATTATTCCATTATTTTCACTATTTCCAAAACACATACAAAAATGTACCCCATTTTGCTTTCACTTTCCTCAACAAAATATCACATGATTGTATCAGTACTCTTCAGTGGGCTGATGACGATTTACTCGCCTATCTAACAGCAGTATATTATGAAGGGTTATTCGATAATACCATTTTTATCCTACTGTCCGATCACAGATCACGGTCTTCGTCGGCACGGAAAACTCCCCAAGGACGACTAAAAGGATTATTGCTATTCTTTTCCATTTCCCTTCTACCAAAGTTCAGAGTTGAGCATCCGTCGTTTGCTTCGAATTTGCAAAGTAACAATCTTACAATCTTCGGCATGGACGTACAAGTAAATTGCATGGACTATATTAAGATTTGCATGCACGTTACTGTCATTGCAAAACTTAAGCGACACCATGTAGTGTGGTGATCACATATTCACACAGTCTATTGCGGCAGATTATTTAGATGGGTATAGCAGTCCAACAGCCATGACCTCATTTGCATAATTTATACAGTATTCTAATTCGAAAATCTCGGCCAGTACACATCAAACTCTTTACCACTGTGGAGTAGTGTGTCACTGCTCGTCTTTATTTTACCGACGGATTTTGTAATAAATATTGATCAGATCAACAATATGTGTTCTGGGTGACAAGTTAGTATGCTTATCGTCACTTGTGTGTTATTATTATCGTAACAAATCTTTGGAAAATAAATTTTGATGATGAAATTTTGATGTTTGCATCAACCATCTCAATTGAGGACAACCTTAATTCTGCGCCGCACCATTAACACAGAGGTTGGCGTTTTCTCAAAATTATAAATATGATAGTATGAATATGAAATATGATAGTTATTCTAAGTAGACATCTCCAAAAGTTGTACTGGATCAGTAGAATATTTTGTGATTTTTTGAAAGAAGGCTACATTTACAATATGGCGACTTGTTAATACAAATACGGTGAACCGTAGTTTATTTTCACATTACAGCTTGTACAAGTTTTACATTTGTAAGAAACATTGAAAGGCAGCAAATTTGTGCATTCAGTAGGCTGAAAAAATATAGGAAATAGCTACAATATCAATAGCTATAAAAAAATATCCGGCATGCGCGATTCAACATGCTCCGATATTAAATCAGTTTAAATAGTGACTAATTTCACTCCTCATTGTATTGCACTGCTATATACTCAACTGATTAGAAACTTTCCACATTTCACCACTTCCAGAACTCCAGGTATTAAAACAGGTTCAATCTTAAAATCCGATTGAGCCTGTTACAATTTGTCTAGATTGTACGTGTTGACATTACTTGCGATGGATCGGAGCTGAGCATGTCCAGTCGGACACAGTGCAACGGGCTTTACACGAATAAAACGGTATACTGACCACGATACGGTGTACTAGTATTTAATGATAAGTGAATAATTCCTTGTTTGTTTTGTTGTTTTTTTCAGACCAAGATGAAAATGGCACTACTACCCAGGTATTATATACTAATGTCGATTTACCTTACACTAATGTGTTATTTACATTCAAAATATATGCTTGCCTCTGGACCGAAACAAAACCATAAGAGCGAATGGATCATTAAAAAGATTGCGGGTCGTGATGAAAACACCAATGCATCAAACACTGCACATGAAAGTAATTTTTCGTGTAAATTTCCATCAATGAACTCAGCTGAAGAAAATATTATAAAGAGAATAGCAAAACTGA